GCTCGTAATTCACCGCAGTCTTAATTTTTCAACCAATTTTTACTAAAAACAAAAAAAAAATATTTTTTGTGAACCTTTTTTTATAACATTTCAAACATTTTTTGTAATTTTTTTAGANAATACATTTACCGAAGTCAGCACACAGAGGTTCAAAATTGGAATTTAATGCTCGTAATTCACCGCAGTCTTAATTTTTCAACCAATTTTTACTAAAAACAAAAAAAAAATATTTTTTGTGAACCTTTTTTTATAACATTTCAAACATTTTTTGTAATTTTTTTAGATTTGGGGAACCATAAAATTGTTTTTAACTAGTCTTTGTTATGTAACATTTATTAACTAATGTATTCTCCATTTCCTTCAAAACTGCCACTTTTTCAGCATTTTGCACAAAAAAATTTAATATAATCAAATAAAAATTCACAAATCAGGCTCAACTGGTATCTTGTAAATATTATAAGCTTTAATAAAAAAAATTATCAAATTAAGTGAAAAAATTAAGGCTCCAGTGAATTACGAACACTAAATGCCACTTTAGACAACTGTGCAGCAGGGGGTTTATTGTTCTCTTTCAATGGAACTGGAAACTCAGCGTGCAACACGATCCTGTGCACAACTTTTCCTGTGCTTTATATATTGTGCAAAGATTACCTATTAAATAAAAACCCTTAAGTGGGGTGCGAAACAAACTGGCGAAGATTTTCATTATATTTTATAAGGAACATTTTTATTTTTAATATTCTGAAAAATTTACCTCTGAAAATGCAGAGCTGGTTTAAAGGACAGTTTAAGAAATAAAGGACAAAACGCGTCCTTTATTTTGAAAAAAAAATATAAAGGACAGGGGGTTAAAATAAAAGACTGTCCTTTGAAATAAAGGACGGATGGTCACCGTAGCTATAACAGTATGTTTGAGATGGAATAACATGGCATAGCAATGCATAACATTTTTGAAAATGACATTTTAATAGATACGCTGGGAAGAAGTTAAGAAAATGTTTAAATTTATATTTTGTTACCTACTTCACCGATTTGAAATCTGAAAACTATACCTTTAATGAGCATGAAATGGTACTTATGTATGTGACCAGAACATCGAGCTGAGCCGACTTAGGCATATGGCAACCGAACTTCAGTTGGGTGGCCACTGGCTGAAATGGTTTTACAGATGGCAACTGCAAGCTGGCAACTGAGTTGCTATATTGGCATCGAGCTCCCTCTACCCCTACGCAGCTACGCCCATGATTTAGCATGTCATTGGTCGGTAACAAGAGCAACTTAAATTTAAATCTATTAAATACATTCTAGCGTGTCTCAGTCCTTTGCCCACAAAAGCGGCTATAACTTTTTTCTATTCGAAAAAGTATGAAATGAAATCCTTATTAAATGAGTAATTTTTTATGTAATGTAAAGTTAAAGCTCAATACATCTTTTTTCACCAGAGATAGTCAAAGTTGGGGGGAAAATATCAAAAAGTTAAAAATCCCAAAATATTACTAATTGTATGATGGTTCCTTAATATATTTTAACTACATGGCATTTGAGTATGGAGAAGCAACTATCTGGAAGTATTTTACATAAAAAATTTACTAAGTATAGCCTGGTTTGTAGATGCAGTTAAGGAAAATACATGAAAAGGCACGATTTTTTTTTAATTAAAAAAGATGGAAATATTTTAAAAACGGTAACACTTTTACCTGCAGGCAGGTTACTTCTGGGACATCCTGTATACAGTAATAAACCTTTTCGCCGTTTTTCACCAATTGGTCCCCCAGGGAGTACTTTTGGGTTATGTGCAGCGTTTTCGTTTTTCGCGCACGGCAACACTGACTGTGAGGAATTTCGCCTCATGATTAGAAAAAGTTCTTTTCGAGGATAAAATATATATAATTGTGTTATTTATGAACAAAATGTAGGTTAAATATAATATCAATGCTTAATTAAGAATAATAACAATAGCAAAGTACATAATTAATGCTTGTGTTTCTTTAAACTGGAAACTCAAATCGTAATTATAACATTGAATGGAGTTTTCATAAATGTAAGTTTAAAATCAATAAACTATCCATTGTAAGATTTTATTTTTATGAAAAACGTGAATTTATAAAGGAAAATTCTAAATTTCCGAATATATTTAAATCTTTATTCCAAAACAAAACAATGTTTGCATAGTTATAGACTCCAAAGCCTGCTAGCGCATCCGCCCAGAGAGCTCATTAAGCAAACCCAAGTTTGAGCGACCATTACCCGGAGCTCCTCAAAAATACTCAGCATCAAAGTATAGCATGTCACAAATATGAATCATACACACATACAATAGGCTATGAATGGCTACCCTATAAACTCAGGACACGCATTTACTTGGAGACTCCGAAGGTTATGGTGGTCATAAGTTCAGCCAGCACATTCAATGGTCCATTACCCGGAGCTGCTCCAACATGATGACTAGATTTTAGTGAGGCTCACATGCCACTGCCTCTCGCTACCGCTGGATATCGGAATATTGCAAAATAAATAGCAATTATCTCTTATAATTATAAGAAAAGTGTTTTTTACAAAATTACCTGTGCCACTCTGGCATAGTATGGTTGTTGCTCCCTTTCATACCACAGTAAATTTGTGTGCAACTCTGAATCGGCAATATTCATGCTCCTTCTCATTATCAACCCTGATTAGATTTTACCCCCGATGAGTACTCAAAAAGGTTTATTGCTGTATATACTGTGGCGTGCACGATTCTGGAATTCAAGAAAATCGCAAGCACAACTACTAATTTTCGACTAAAACTGTGCGCTGTGAAGCGTGCAAACAAAGCAACATGCCTCGGCAACAGCTTATGCCAGACTGTTTTATTGGTTAAATTTCTACAGATTATTTAATTTAATTTAATTCATTAATCAATAAACAATGTGCTTACAGACTATATTAAATATTTAAAAAACAGGATAACGCAAAAATAAACGAGTAAGAAAGTCTATGGCGCAAGTATTAAATATATGTAGTTTTTTTACCTTTCCATAACCCTATTGCAAACATCTTCGATAGAACGTTCAGTTAGTCAAAGTGAGATAAACTTATAGTTATAGTCATATTCCAAATAATTTACTTCTTTTCAAGGTATTGTTGTTAGTATCAATTTTGAGTAAATTAGCGTCCCAAATTTTATAATACTGCTATTTTTCGTCCAAAAATCATTGTAAATATCAATTTTGAGTTAATAAAGGCCCGTTTACATACAACCTTGGCGTTGCGTTGCTGCTCCGGTTCCAGAACCGCTATAAGGTTTGCTGCTGCTCCGCCGCAAGCTTTGCAGCTCCGCCAAAAGATGTCGCCGATTGAAACCCCAGTTCAGAACCCAGATAAAAGCCGCAAGATGTCGCTGATGACACTCCCGCGTCCAGAACCGGAACCGATCACAGTGTGTATCGCTGATGGAAATCCGATACAAGGTGGTTTATATGTCGAAAATTGGTAAAGTGTATTGATATACATAAAACTACATACGTATTCTCATATATACATCCATATGCAAACGTACATACGAACATATGTATATACCAGAGACCGGCTTTGAGTACTAATAAAATTAGTATACTTATTCATGATCCATAAAAATTAGTGCAAATGAGCACTTACACCAATTCAAAAAATTACTAAGAGTAATTTCCACCAAAACAAGAACACACTCAAAATATACTAACTCTTATTTGTGGCGGCAATTTTTGTCTCTATCGAGTATAGTCCCAGCTGGATTTTACTCATTTGGTCGAGTGAGAGGCTGAAAATAATTTCAGTGAGTTTAATATTTGTGTTCTGCTTAGTTCTACATCAGTGTTGGCATTTCTGGTACAATTGTACTTTTTTGATACAATTTCGTTTACTACGCAGTACTTTTTAGTACAATTTTGTGACGAATACTATAAATATATACGTAGCTCTGAAAATTCAGTGCGGGAATTCGTTTTATCTTTCTGTATTCGCCCTCTCGTTTTTGCTNTTGATACAATTTCGTTTACTACGCAGTACTTTTTAGTACAATTTTGTGATGAATACTATAAATATATACGTAGCTCAGAAAATTCACTGCGGGAATTCGTTTTATCTTTTTGTCTTCGCCTTCTCGTTTTTGCCTTTGTAAGTTTTGAAAAAAGGTTTTGAAATAACCATTATAACATAGCAAAAGGTGTGCTATCAACCTCACATTCCTAGGCAAGTAACTAGCAAACAAAATGTCGAAATCAGCTTCATATAGTTAGAAACCGTGTCATCGTTAATTTTTTATGTTCTTAAATATCATAACTTCACGACACTCATATATTGACTAGAGTTGACTATTTATTTTATTATTTTTTAATTCTAATTATTTGTTTATAAAAATATAGTTAATTCCTTAACAAAAACTGTATGAAAAAAAGTTTAAATCTTTTAACAACATTAAAAAATTAACAAACTTTCGTAAAAATTTCGAGATTTCTATTTCAATTTTAGTATAATAATGTGCAAGTATAAAGCAGCTGGAATTTGCCGTCAATGTCATATTATCTAAACGCGATTTTTTTTTTTAACGAAGAAAATGAGCAACACCTTCATCAAAAAAAAAATATATATATTAAAAATCAACGATAAGTCGCAGCTATTTTAAACTTGCACTTCATTTAAATTGATTGGACTACAAACGGCATTCTCAAGACATGTATTTTTGGAAATCGAGTTAAAAGCCCGAAATTTTTACGAAAGTTTGTTGATTTTTTTAATGTTGCGCAAAAATTTAACCTTGGGGTTTTATTAAAGTATAAACTGCATTTTTATAAACAAATAATTAAAATTAAATAATTTTAAGATAAATGGCCAATCTTGTCAATATGTGAGTGTCGTAAAGTTTTGATAAGCACTTGAAATACTAAAAATAAAATGTCAAACTTTAGTACTGAATTCAAAGAAGATGTCTCCTTTATCCATGCATAATAACATAAAAAAAATTGTTTGTTAAGAAGTGTACCTTAAAATCTGTGCATAAACATTTATGTTCAAAGTGTGAAATGTACCTACATAAACTTTCCCATGAATACCATCAAATCATTGATCTTGAAGGGAATCTATGTATGCATGCACTAAGAAAATATATGAGCAAATTAAAAAGTCGATGCAATTTACAGTCGAAAAGTATAGTTTTTGTATAGATTTCGTACTGAAGGAACATTTTCATTTCCCAACACTGTGCGACATGCGGGCGCCACCATAAACAAGTGTGAGCTAAAAGTGAGTGTATTAGTGTGCCTTCCCCAACCCAGTAGAAATCGGTTGTATGCATTCACGAAGAATGCTTGCTATATGAGTGAATTCGTGTGAATAATTCATGCGTAGTTAAGGATTTTTCACGAATAAATTCAAGTTCCATCGAGTTGCAAGCGAATGTACGTTGTCGTTGTTCTTGATCAATTTGAAGTGGAATTTTTGTAATATTTTCAGTCTTGTACAAAAATGTTAGTAAACGGACGTGTTGTGCGATACTATTTTAAGCACAAACGGGCTTTTACAAGATATGCATTTGCATATGTAAGTGTATCAGAGATGTAGCATTTACATATAGGGATACATGCCTTGCAAGAATGCTTTATTACTGGTCCATTAATGCATTTTTGTATGTTTGAAACATTAATACAGCCATATGCATACATCAGTAGTACAAGTGTATGATTAGAGTACGCATACGCTCTGAGAAACCACGCGTGTTAAAAGGAAATGAAGGTTCATTTATACTTGCATGTATACACAGCAGCAAGCCCATGCCACCAACAGCGATGTTGTATGCTTTAGATTTCTACTGGGAATTTGCCAAACGACGTCGGAACGACGTCGTTTCCGACTCGTTTTGGTGAACAATTTGTTCGCCGGCGACGGTCGCAAACGACTCGCCGGCGAACTCGCCGTCGGATGAAAAGCACACTTCGCCGGCGGGCTGCAAAAATGACTTACCGGCGGGTCGCAAAAACGACTCCCCTGCAGCCCGCAAGAACGATATATCAGCGAACTGCAAAACGACGCTCAAAGTTGCAAGAAAATTAAAAACAATATTTTAGTTTAAAATAGCTTAATTTAATTCATTGAATTTTTTTCAAAGTTTTTTAAATATACATAAATACTTAAATATTAATAAAAAAGAAAAATAAGGTAAACATTCAGTCATAAAATACAAACAAAAGTTTTAATATATTTTAATATAATATAAGTTTTAACAATTAATTTTTTTGTTACTTCATTTTAGTTATCTTTAAAATTAATTAAAATTGGGTTTATTTTTTCACAAGGACCATGTAGTTCAATATTAAGGCAATGTGTAGTATACATACAAACATATATATGTATATATAAAAAAATTTCAACAAGCTTTCATAAAAAATTAAAGCTTTTTAATCTGCATTTAAGAAACACATAAGAAGCAGTTTTATAGTCCATAAAATGTTAATATAATAGAACACAGGTTTGAAGTAACACAAAACTCACATTGATTTTTGGTGTTATTTTTTTTGCGGTACTGCGGATTTTCGTCCATATGAATTTTATGACAGAAAATGCATGCTTTGAGGCACTTCAACCGTGTATTCTATTATACATACCAAACTTCAATGGACTTTAAAACTGCTTCATATGTGTTTCTTTAATGCAGAATAAAAATCTTACAATTTTTATTAAAGCTTGTTAATTTTTTTTATATGTACATACATGCATATGTATATTGCGCAATTTTGAATTTTGAACTATATGGTCCTTGTTAAAAAATAAACCCAATTTTTATAAAGATAACTAAAATGAAGTAACAAAAAAATAAATTGTTAAAACTTATCAATATGACAGATAGTATATTTATGCAGACGACTGTGAAACATTCCGTTTTGAGATCCTTTCTCCAGCATAATGGAAATATCTTTTGGTTATTCGCTCTATTATTTCCACAGATTCGTTGAATTTTTGCTGGAACGCTTCTGAAATAATATTTAAAGTATATAAATCATTTTTGAGAGCTGGGCATCAACAATTAAAGCGTACTTCTAATTGCCGCTGTTGTGATGAGATGCCGCAAATTTTTTCCATTTTGAGTCCCTTCTGTCACCTGAAAAAGACTTGCGTGCCAAATTAGCTTTTCTCTCAAAGTTTACACTGCTGGCAAATGTAAATAAGTATTACAATTTAAACACTAATTAATCCGACTAAAGTAAAATCTGTGGAAAATTAACAATAAAATACTTTTTTCGCAAAATCTATAAAGGACTCTTTTATTTCTCAAACAAACCTGGGTAACAGTTGTTCGTCGTCACGCTGCAAAGTAAAAGTACAGTTTTCTACCAAATTAAAAAAAAATCTTATTCCCACAAATTTTATTTTTTATTACTAAGGCCAATAGAGTGCCTTTATAAAAAAACATTTTATATGAAAAATATTATGAATACTGAAAAAAGATGTAGGTGGCTTAATTTTCTGAGCACAAGTGTACATTGTGGATTCCATATTCTGTTATGATAAAAAATTGTCATAATAAAAACGGTTTACTATCCAAATGAATGACTTTTATTTATGCTTAGATATATTAAAATTTGGGCGTGCAACTTGTCCAACCTAGACCGAAGGTTCCTCAAAAAACTTTTATGTTCGAAGAAACGGATTCGTTTCGAGTTCACCAAAACGACTTCACCAGGGCGCCGTCGTAACGGCTTCACCAAAGCGACGTCGTAACGACGTCGGTTAGAGTTCACCCAAACGACTTCACCAGGGCGACGTCGTAACGGCTTCACCAAAGCGAGATCGCAACGACGTCGTTTACAGTTCACCCAAACGAGTTCACCAGAGCGACGTCGTAACGACGTCGTCTTCGCCCTGTGGCAAATTGGGTTCGCATGCTGTCGCTTTCTCGTCGCTTGTACATGTTTTGTTGCTATAAACCATGATAAAAATATAGTAAGGTAGAACCGCTGAGAGTCACTTTTAAATTCTTGACGTTTCCAAACAATTTAATTTTTAAATTTACTCACAAACTCACACACACAATTTCATTTTCAATCTCAAGCAACAACAATTTCGAACAATTTCAATTTTTTATTTTCACTTTTATATGATTTTAAAATGTGATTTTTTTTTGAAGTTTGCCAACATTTTAAAATCATATAAAAGTGAAAATAAAAAATTGAAATTGTTCGAAATTGTTGTTGCTTGAGATTGAAAATGAAATTGTGTGTGTGAGTTTGTGAGTAAATTTAAAAATTAAATTGTTTGGAAACGTCAAGAATTTTAAAAGTGCCTCTCAGCGGTTCTACCTTACTATATTTTTATCATGGTTTTTATCATGCTATAAACGACGAAAATTACTAAATTCACTAAAATCACTCAACTGAGCTATTGGTGCTTCTTAGTGCTCCTACTCATTTCGGTATAACTAATTTGTTTAATGGCTCAATGAGAGAATTGAGCACTACACCAATGCATATCAACAGCAGTGTTGCCGTTTTAGCCCTTTGGTGGCTAAATTTAGCTCCCACATACTTTTTTTGGCCACATAAATTTAAAATTGCCCCTAGCCCTTTTTATAATCTATTCATACTTGGCATGAAAAAGTTGTATATGCTTAATTTGTTTTTTTTTTTGCATTTATGTAAGAGATGAATTTTTAAACTAAGAAAGACTGATATATATACATATGTATCTATATGTATGGTATGTTCCTTACGTTTTTATACATACATACTGTAAAAGTGTTAAGGCTGTTAACTTATCTATTAACGATTTAACTATAGTTTAAAATAGATAAGTTGACTGCCCTTACTGCCATACTGTAAAAGTGTTGGGGCTGTTAACTTTTCCGTTAACGATTTAACTATAGTTTAAAATAAATTTGTTTGTAAATTTGTTTAATGACCCATCAAGTCAAGTGACCGTGTATGTTCTTGTGGTGTGATTATACCAGCATGCTGGGGTCGTTAGTGGTGAAATTAGCTCAATTTTCTAAGTAAAAAGTATTTTGGCGGAAATTTCTTGCACTATATGAGTCAAAGCTGTATTTGTGGAAGATTACGTTCACGATATTGCAGTTGTGAATTACAAAGAAAAACAATGTTAAACAAAATGCTACAAAAATTATGAAATTTTGGCTCTAATCATTTCGATCTTTCCTCGATCTCATTTGTAAAGAAATAGATATTGTACCAGCATGCTGGTAAGTTATATGCTTCGAGCCTGATGGTACAATCACTTGATGGAACCAGCAAGCAGCTGGTACAAAAATGTTTTTGGTTGGATAAAATATTAGCTTTTTTCCAAAGTTCATTGTTTTTATATACCATTACTTATTGAAAATGTTTACGTGTATACTTATATATGTATGTATATGTAAGTAAAAAATTTTAGCTACCATTTTTAGCCACAACGACTTTTTTTAGCTCTATTTTAGCCCTTTTTTTAAGGGAATTTGGCTACCACTAAAAATTATGCGCGGCAACACTGATCAACAGAGAACTTAGTCATTGTACATGCTCTCGCTTTGTGTGCCGAGCGGAAAATAGTGTTAGTGCATATGTATGCACTAAGACTATGTTCAAACAGGCCAATTAGCTGAGGCAATTAAGCTTTAAATTGGGGCATTGAGTTTTGTGTTCACATACATACAATTTAGCTTATGCAATTAGTATTTGACAGCTGTGTGTTTTGATTTTATTTGTGAAAAATTCGGCGCGGAAAATGGAGTAAAACTTAACTTTAGGACGAATTTTACTAGCGTATAATAATTATAGTGAAGTTTCGCTCAATACTGTCGAGTTCTGATTGCAGCTTGCCATTGTTGAGAAAAAGAAGGAAAAATAATTTGCTAGTCCTTCAACATTTAAGGAGGCAGCAGCTACTGATCCTAGCAGCATTGGAACAAAATGCAACTCAAAGGTCGCTGTGGAAGCAGGTAAATTAAATTGAAATAAGTTTCAATTTTTGTTCCAATCAATAATGTTTCCTTTTTACGTAATCGGCAATCTTCTTTTTTTGGGAGGTCAACTGCAGTTGCAATGATGACCACTTTTTCAAAACCCATTTTCGCATGACACGTGCCAGTTTTAACACACTCTGTGGCTTTCTCGGCAATTTAGAAAAAGCCGATACAAGCTGGCGCACGACAATTTCATGGCAAAAGCGAGTAGNATTGAAATAAGTTTCAATTTTTGTTCCAATCAATAATGTTTCCTTTTTACGTAATCGGCAATCTTCTTTTTTTGGGAGGTCAACTGCAGTTGCAATGATGACCACTTTTTCAAAACCCATTTTCGCATGACACGTGCCAGTTTTAACACACTCTGTGGCTTTCTCGGCAATTTAGAAAAAGCCGATACAAGCTGGCGCACGACAATTTCATTGCAAAAGCGAGTAGCAATCGCTTTATTTGCCCTTGGTTCAGCTGGAGAGTATCGAGTAGTATCTGAATTGTTTGGTGTTGGCAAATCATCTGTGTGTGCAATATTGATGGAATTCTGCGAAGAAGTGTGGCAAGCGTTGTCCCCACAGTATATAAAGAAATTGCCATCCACGTAAGAAAGAGTCGCTGAATGTGTGAATGGTTTTCATCGCCTTGGCTTTCCACAATGTCTGGGAGCAATTGGTAGGCAAATGGAAGATTTCCTATGTTAATATTAAAAAATGTAGACATTAATTTACAAATTCTTGTCCTGTTTTTTAGATGGATGTCACATCGAAATAAAACCAAACAAGACTGATGCAACTGACTATTACAATTATAAGGGATGGCATTCTGTTGTACTTCTTGCGCTTGTGGATTACAGGTACAAAATATATTTCTTTATTCCCGTTTATCTCATTGTTTAATAACAAAATATTATATGCACAGATGCCGTTTTTTATATATAAATATTGGTGCTCCGGGACGTTGCAATGACTCCCAAATATATAATTCATCCCTACTTAAAAAGGTGTTAACTGAGGACGAAGTATTGGCGGCCAATAAAAAGAATATACATGGTGTACAAATGCCGGTTGGTATCTTGGATTCGGCATTTCGTTTTTCCACCACTTTAATGAAGCCATACCAGCCAGAAGAGTGGTAGAGAATGCTTTCGGTCATTTAAAAGCCCGTTTTCGTCGCATTGGAAAAGGCTTAGATAACCGAATAGGGAACGCGCCGATGATTATTCGAGCTTGCTGTGTTTTACACAACTTTTTAAACGAAGAAAGTGATCATATTAATCAAATATGGTTAGAAAATTTGGAAGAATTTGACCGAAATCGGGAAAACCCTTCGCAAAAAGTTGTACTTGCTGATAACGAAGCCTCAGCTGTGTTCTTATTTTGGTAAGTAAAAGTTATTCTTTCCCCATAACTTTTTATTGAAAAGTGTATTTATTTATTTGCATTCAGAAATTAATTGAAAGTTTTATTTTTTTCTTTTTATTTATACAAGTTTANCAACCGGATTAGTGCTTTAAGAGCTATACATTAGTTTCTATACAAATACGCATAGTTTCTTTAATNCACTTCTAAAGTAAAATTTTCCGTCGAATCCGAATATGAAGTCAAAATATTATCAAGTAGCATACTTGTTGCGATAAAGTAACTTTACTTTTTTTTAAAGAAGTGAAGATAAGTCCACTCAATGTTTTTTAATGCAGTTGGTCAATTACCAAATTCTTTTTGCGTAGGTTAAACTGACTAAATTAACCGTCATCTATGTCAACAACATTTTCCAACCGGATTAGTGCTTTAAGAGCTATACATTAGTTTCTATACAAATACGCATAGTTTCTTTAATTATAGAAAAATTTTCAATTATTTCATGTTGATATTTGTACCGAAAGTTTTTTTTTGTTATTTTGAAAATTTTTTATATNTCAAAATTAAAAAACTGTTACTACTGTTAAATGGCTCATATCTGTAATCCTTGTCTAATCCTTACTACTTACTGTAGTACTACTAAAGTAATTAGTAAGGATTATACATGGATTAAACAAGGATTCGAGACATGAGCCATATAACAGTAGTAAGAGTTTTTAATTTGAATTGTGTTGTTATTGCAAATAACAAATGCGACATTTGCAACAACTTTGCGACGTTTCATGAATAGCACTAATGTTTTTGCGCATTCGCCATTCGTTTTCTAAAGCGACGAAGTATGGTACTTGATTATATTTTGACTTCATATTCGGAGTTGACGGAAAATTTTATTTTAGAAGTGTTGGTCAAATATGCCTTAATTTTTGTTCAAATAATATATTAAGGCCTTTTTTACTTCTTTGTTGTCTTTCGCAACTCTTTCCTGTATCCCTGCTTTCCTTTTTTCTATTTCAATAAGTTCTTTTTCATTGTCCTCGCTTCTTTTCAAATGGTCAGCAATGTCCGATGACAAGTTATCAAACTTTTCTAAAAGTTTCTCCTGGAAATTGTTTTTCTTTATTTTTCCAGCCGATCCAGATGTTGAAGGCACTGGCGACGGAAGTGACGACGAGGGTGAAGGTAGCGGTGTTACAGGTGATGGTAGTGCTGCAGTAGACGACGATGTTTTTGATGAGTCTGTTTAAAAGAAAACATTGTTGACATTAAAAATTTAATAAAACCAAAAGTTGTTTAAATTGTAAAATGAAACAAATTTTTGCTTATTGTATATATGTACGTACACTGGTGGTCAGCTGGTTAAGTTAAATGACATTTTGATAAGTTTTGGTTATTTTTCTTTTGTTTATTTAATGTTTATAATTTGTATATAACAGTCTAGCACAGTACATAACCAGCGCCACATAAATCCACATTTCGAACTTCTTACAAAAATTATAAAAATTCAACAAACTTTAACAATTACACCCGAAAATCTTAAACTTTTTATTACAAAATTTTAGAAAAATTTTAGGTATGCAGTTTTATTTTTTTAAATTTTACTAGTTTAAAGTGAAAATTTTAAATCGTTAGAAAATCGCGTTGATCTTTAATAATTTTTTTTTTGCTGACGGTGGTAGGCATATTTCTCCATATAAAAGTAAATATCGAGCATACTTTATATGGGAGAAAATGCTCAACAAACAAAATAGATTTTGTTCCTGCGTTATATGAAAGAAAATGGTCAACACCCTCGACAAAAAAAGTTCTCAAAAATCAACGGCAATTTTAGCGACTTTAAACCTGGCCTTGTTAGACTAAATTTAATGGGCTAAAAAACTGCATACCCAATTTTCTACATTCTGATTAAAAAGTTTGATTAATTTGTATGCAAATTTTTTTTAATTTTAAGTACTTTGTGCAATCTTTGAAACATCCACATATGTGGTTTCTGGTATGCCGGCATAATGCTCGCATGATGAAATTATGCAAGGTGCTTAAGCAAATAAACAGTAAAATCTGCCTCACAAGGGTATAAACAACAGAAATAAAAAAAAATTTAATATGCGATTGTAAACGATTGGAAATTAATCAGAGATTTATACAGTAGTTGTAAATCCATACTTGTTTAGAAGTGAGGTAGCCTAGTACTATTTTACAGCTGGTAAAATGCACTGTTTTCGAAAAGGAAACATTGACTAATGACGTTTTCTTTTCTACAAAAAATGTTGCCTTCTCGTTGCCCTCCTTTTGCTGTTTGAGCGAAACAGCAATGAGAAGGTAAAATTTTTTGGTAGAAACGAAAACGCCATTAGTTAAAGGAGCCAGTCCATGTCCAACACCTTGTAAAATTCCATCATAATACATATGTACAGAAGGACAGTTCGGGTCTGCGATATTGTGAAGTGATAAAAAAAAACACTTTCACACTGCACTTACTTCGCTGTGCATTTTTAACATTTCACTTCACTTCACGATAGATAATGCAGAACGGGAATTGACCCCCTGTTATGTACATATATGCAAGTGTTGCAAATAAGCCAAAACATGCATACGTACCATCAATGCTTTCAAGTGTCAAATCTTTGTACAGGCTCGCCTTGAATGCACCGATTATTGAATGCACCCTTTCAAAGTGCACCCATGTTGAAGGTGACCCACCAGAAGGACCCATTTCTGCCTTTTCTTTCCTAGGAGTTTGAATTCAAAAATTATATTGCATTTTATTCTTATATCAACCTACCTGTATCCCTGTGAAAAGTTTTGCAGCTTCACTTGCACGTCTCTTGAGCTGTGATTGTATCCAAGCTTGGAGAGGTCAGCCGCCATCTCCGCGTAAACTTGAGCATTCTTCCTCAGCCCACGGAGCTCCTCCACGCGCTCCTCCCACAGCTCAAGCACAGCGACCTCGGCCCCCTCACTCCATCCCATTCTTTTTCTTTTCGGTTTTGGTTCTACAATGAATAAAAATAAAAAGGTGATTATTTTAACTATATTGTTATTGAAAATTTGTTTAAATTTACTCACGATCAATTTTATCCGCCATTCTGGTTAATTTTGTTTAATAATATTGAAATGTCATTTCGTTTTCTTGATATTTCGTTTTCATGACGTTTCGTTTTCTCATCAAACATACCGGCTGCATTTCTTTATTCATTCTGAACGTTTGGAATAAACTTTTTTGTTTATTTATTCTTTAGAATGTTCTCGATGATACGTTGACGTGTACTTCAAACGCATTCTGTTTATTCCGGCTGTGAAATGGGGTTATCCGGAATGTATAAAGAAACGCAGCCACCGTCTCCTCTCATAACATAAACATACTTCACAGGGTTGCGTAGAGAATCGGACACAAATTAATTGTCAATTAAGTATTAATTGGCAATTAATAAATTGAAATTTTGTATGGCAAATTGGGTAACAATTAAGGCTTTAATTGGTGAAAAGGTTCTTAATTGCCAATTAGGTGCCTGTTTGAACATAGTCTAACACTATTTCTTGTGTTATTCAACCAATTACTTAAAAACACGAATAATTGCAGTTCCCTGGTATATACATATATATATATGCTCCACCCCTAGAAAAGTGTGTTAATAATGTTCACATAGTTAATTGCTAAGTATTTAATATGTATGTGTATATGAATGGAAAGCCCTGTTGATGTTGATGATGAGAACAAATAAAATTTTATTTGAAATAAAAGAAAGTTTTATAATTACTTATTTACTTTGATAATAAGAATTTTAAACATAAATGTCCGCAATTATATGAATTATAGCTTTGCTGTTTATTATAGTTATATTTAATGTTTTTTCCTAAATACTTTATTATTTGCTTAGGAGGCTGTAAGTTTCCAAAGCTATCGAAGTGATCAATCTCATTATCGTTTTTCCAG